TATATGTATGTATATATATATATATGGTTTTATATACGTATATCCATAACAGAATACATATCTACATAATTACCAATTTATACATATAAATGTTGGTTTTGACGCTTTAAGTCTTTCTTTGTGATGCTTGTGTAATATTCTGTTTTGCACTATCGCTGTATATATATAAAAAAGAGGAGTTTTAGACTGCCCGAAGGCTTATCACATACCAGTAGAAGGTATACATATACATACATACACAAACACCACATACTATGCACGCATAGGCTTCATACGTTGGCATGTACTAGACAATAACTGCCTTGCTCTTCACTTATGGTCTCTCATGGTTTGGTTTGTATTTGTTCTCCCACAGCTTTCAACCCGTTGGACAGAGTCAATCCTCAAAAGGCAAAGCGCAACACACGTGTGAAGGTACATGAGGCTACTTACACTCTAAGATAACATCGATGTCTCAGTATTGCGATTTGTATTTGAGACTTTTGTGTTGTTGTTTGCGGTTGTATGTACTTATATGCTCACTCGTTTCTACATTATTCCCAACCACTAATGGCGCGGTCTGCAATTCTTGATAAATTGTGTGCAGCGTATATGTCGTACAAACGGCCCTTTTCATCAGCAGTTGAGAGAGTAGTGTAGAAATCATGTATACAGGATCACACATATACATGTATCCAGATGCACATGCACATGTGTGTGTGTATATTACATATATGTATACTTGCACGTATATGTACCATCTGTTATGTGTCTGTGAGTCCTGCTTGACTTGGCTGTTTTATTACCCACTACTGCTTGCCCCACGGTTGAATCTTCTGTTCTCTGTTATGAGGCAATACATTGTAGGCCGAAGCGTTTCGACCCGTCATTCCATACATATCGCGCGATGCCACTTAGTGATATTCGTATGAAGCGAGCTGCACATGTTGATCTGCGCCTGATTCACGATAACAGTATAGTGGTCTAAGTACTATAAGCATACGCTCATACTGAAGACTGACCACTGGAATGAAGACGGATACTAAGAGATGCAATGGGCACGGATAGTCTGTTGATATGCACATGCATCTCCACGTGAACATACTGTGACTAGTGCCTTCTCGAAAGGATATACATATCCTGGGCTATATGGTGAAATTATATGGTAAATTTCTCGCACTATGTATGTTAATGGTAACTTTCACACGCTATTTATACCTATGTATTATAAATTTTACAAGCTATGACTACGGTGAATTTTACACGCTATTTATAGATTTTTACTCTCGTATTGTCCACAGTCTCCTCCAGCACCCAATCCCAACGATCCACTGCAGGATGAGGCAACCAAACCAGACTTCCCCATGGAACAATACGGATCATTTGCAAAGAAATAAAATTAATGCGTGCTACGTGTGATGTGTAAAATGATGAATAGTCATGTGGAGAAATTATGATGAATAGTTCACCCATTTTTTATCTGGAATGTCACGAAACTTAGTATGGGCTGACTACGAGATGTATTGCAGAGTGCACTACAGCATGCGCCGAAGTACTTGCAGAGAGCAAGCTGCATTCCACGCCGAGTAAAATGCCAACGAAAAATACAAGTTCTACATACCGCAAGTTCTACATACGTAGAATTACTTAGATTCCTCAGTGTTGTGATACTGCTTCCGAAATCATCGATCAAAGCAGACCTAAATATAGAGAGTTTTGGTATGTATATTTTATTCTATATCTATAGACTTTTATGCTTATCGGTATCAGTGAATAAAATATAGTCACTTGAAAATGCCTGCACAGATTCAAGACAAGCTAAAGCCTAAGGAGCTGCAGTCTGGGGCAGAGTTCGGTCCAGACTTCCGAGCGGCCTCGTCTCTTTCTAAATAACACTATTATCTCTCGAAGAGTGTGTGTGTATATGTGTCCCTGGTGTAACTACAAGGGAGAGAGACTCTTCAGACCGGCGGAAGTGCATCATATGATCAGCGTGAGATTAAGTAGCATAGAAGTCAAAATAGAATAGTATCGAAGTGTTAAAGTGCTCTGCCTCTGGTTCATCCAGATCCATGTCGTCCTGATCAGGCAGTGCGTCAACAATCTTGACCTAGTCCTTCTGTCTCCGAGTGAGATTCGGAGACTTCGCACTCTGACTGCGAGTGTACATAGCACCTAACAACCCCCCAGCTTGAGACTTGTCACCGTCTCCCAGCTGGGCTTCCGCTTTCCGTACCGACTGGTCCGCCGCAGCTAACCTCTCCAAGACAGGACGCTCCGCTTCCAGCTTCTCCCAAAAGTCCTTACGCAAGTTGTGCGGTCTGTACGGACTCATGTGACATACCAATGTCACAAAGTCAGGCGCAGGCACAACCTCACGGCCATGTTTTAAGAAAACACCTTCCTTTGGGTAGATCACTACCGGATCTGCTGAAAGCATGGGTACCATCTCATTGAACCACCTTGCCTCAGGGGCGTACGGACAACCCAACGTAGCCGTTGCCTTGTCCCTCCTGATCCTGGCTACCACTCTGCCTAAATCTGACCACTTAGGGTTGAAGTACCACCTTGTACCCATCCAGGTGCGCAAAGCAAACCACCCCCCCCCCCCAGCCAGCGTGGGCTGGTAAAACGGCTTCATACAATAGTTGGTCGGATGTGCAAATCCTTCCGCATCGAATGGGCCAAACTTGTCCCATATCTTGGCAACCCAACTCATATTCAAGGCATAGGACTCCGTCTTTGGTTCCACCACCACCGGCTCACTCCAATGGACTCGTTCCCCAACCGGAACACTCCGTGCCTGCATGATCGGGTCAATGTGGTAGCCCAAACGCGACTGCACATCAGCCACAGGATTCAACACGCCCGGTGTGCGCTTGAGTATTATGTCAAAGTCTCTCAGCACCTGGGCATAGCGAGCCATCCTCCGACCTCTCACCGACGAATCGTACGACAGCGGGTCCTTCGTCAGCATCGTGACTAGCGGTTCATGGTCCGTGTAGATCGTGAGTGGATGTTGCAACCTCGTGACAATGCGCCATGACTTGTGTAAGCAGTACACAATGGCAAGGGCCTCCTTATCCGTGATGTGGTAGTAGTCTAACTGGGCAGGGCTGAACTTTGACAACCAGAACCCTACCGGGCAGAGCTTCTTCTCTCGTCGAGGAAGCAAACCCCCACCCACTCCTACAGAGTCGCGCGCATCGCAGTACATCTCCAGCTTATCATTGAACTGAGGTTCATCCAAAACCCTCCTCTTGGCCACCTCAACTCGGATACGTTCATAGGCTTCCTGCTGAATCGGGCCCCAGACAAAAGGGTCATCCTTCTTGCTGAGATCCGAGATAGGTGCCATGATCCTGGAATAATCCGGAACGTACTGACTCCAGTATCCTATGGTGTGATACCAAGACGCTAAGAGGTCCTTATCCGTGGGTGGGGGCATGCGTAAGATGGGCTCCATCCGATCTTCCGACCCAGCGCCAGGACTGCTCGATCCGAAAAACCAAAGCAGCACTTCTTCAGATTCAGCTTGACGTTATGCTTTCTACAGGCCGCAATCAAGGCCTTGATGCTCTTCCAATGTTGCTTAGCATCATTATCGCCCACACCCATATTATCGATATAAGTCTTGAGGCCGTCCATGCTTTGGAAGGCATGTTCCATCCTTTGCTGCATGACCCAAGACGCCGGCTTGATACTAAATAGCATGCCCACAAATGTGCGCTTGCCCCAAGGCGTCCAAAAACGTCAAGAGGTGCTGCCATCCCTCCACAGCCTTGAGCTGGCAGAACCCTTGGCCGAGATCTACCATGGTGCGATACTTATTGCCGCGTACCGATGACAAGAACTCCTGCTCCGTAGGCACGGAATATTCCTCACAGTCCAACGTACCATTAAGCTTCTTGTAATTTATACAACAACGCCAATCATTGACGGACAACGGCACGAACCCGGGCTTCTTAAAGACAATATGTGGCATTGCACAATAACCCTGCGCCTCGGCATCCGAAATCTCACGAGTGATACCGCCATGATCCCAATCACCAACCTTCCCACCAAGCACCGTAGTGAAGGTGGGATCCTTGCTAGGGTAGACATTATAACAGGGCTGCGACCCCTCTTTCACTTTGAACTCAACCCCGTTACGGAAAAGGATATCATCAAAAACCATGAAAGTGGGAGCAGCCGCATTGTATGCCACGGACTGGATGTCTTTGATCATGATATCCAACTCTCGCTTCGTCATCCCGCAGGCCTTGTGCAGCTTACGTAACTGGGATTGGTCGAATTCTAAATGCGCCTGTGGGTCCACCTCTTTGACCGGAGATACAGTTGTCGCTCCAATGGGCATATCAACCTCCGCCAACAAGTCATGAAAACGAGGTAGCACATACTCGTCAGCATCATCCAGCTCCGCCGCATTGGCTAAATAGTCTAACCGCTGCTTGATCTCCATAAGATGCGCTTGCACTGACGCAATATAATTCTTGCGTTGCTGCTCCTTAAACTCATTTCTGGCTTCGTAGCGAGTTGAGTTTTAATTTTTGCGGCATTCGCACATCAAGTCTCCGCCTCTTGCTTCAAACTTGTGTGCGCCGCGCTTTCGCCCGCTTGCCCGTCAGGCTCTGCGGTTCCAATTGGCCATTATCCGCCGCTTGAGACTCCAAAAA